AGACTTACTCAGGTGTGGCAGTACTGATGGGGGTGTGGATGGGTAAACATGGGAAGAACTGGGGCAGGGTGCCAAGGGTATAGATGACCCATAAGGCGAACAAAGAAGGGTTGAGGATGGGGTGCCAGATGTCACTGATGATGAAGCCTGTGTCTAGCGGAACTGTTCTGTTCTTGTGAATCTCAATTGCCTCACGAACACGGCGTGGATGCCATTGTTCTATGTTGGCAATGAGATGGGCTTGTTGCCAGTGGACTTGGTGGTCTGCAGTGCTGGAGTGTTTGATGATGGCAGATTTCTCGAGATCCCCCGTCGTCCGTGGGCTCGGTGTTCATCGAGTCTGGTAGTGATATCTCTACCAGTTTCGCCGATATACACCTTGCCGCATTCGCAGGGGATCCTGTAGACGCCTGGCTTGGTCTTGGGGTCTTGTTTGTCCTTGTGAGACTGGAGAGCTGCTGGATCTTGTTGGGGCGGTATGGAATACTTTGATGCCATGGTGTAGAAGGATGCGCTGGATCCGGTGGGAGGTATTGCCTATGTAGGGAGGGTGACAGAAATAATGTGCCTAATGGGTTGACCTTGGGTATAGGAGACCCGCTGGTTTGGAGGGGGTCTAGGGTCTTGATCTGTCTGGACTTGAACCCGTTCCGCTGTAGTGCTGTGGATATGTGATGGAGTTCCGGTTGTAGGTGGTCTTGGTCGCAGATGGTGTATGCTCGACGTACGAGGGTGCTGTTGACGGAGGCCTTGATGATGCTGGGGTGGTGGAATGACCGGTTGTTCAGGTAGCGGTCGGTGTGTGTTGGCTTCCTATATAGGCTGTGCGGGATAGGGTGCCATCTTGTAGTCTTGAAACCTCAACATCCAAGAATGCAATGCGTCCGCCTTGTTCCTTCTCCATGGTGAACTGGATGTCGTTGTGTTGGCTGTTGAGGTATTGAAGGAACAGCTGGAGGTCTTGTGGGCTGTGTGGCCAGACGACAAAGGTGTCGTCCACATACCGGATCCATACGCTGGGCTTGAGGTCCGCCGCGGAGAAGAGGGCTGTCTGCTCAAATTCTTCCATGAACAGGTCTGCCAGAACCGGGGATAGAGGCGATCCCATGGAGGTTCCGGAAGACTGCTCGAAGAATTTGTTCTCCACTGGAAGCAGGAAGATGATACGTAGCTGATCAGGAGATCGTGGTTTGATGTGGTGTGAGGTTGGTCCGGTCGCTGAGTGAGGGATCTTGAAGTAACCTGTCCTTGGCGATGGTGCATGCTTCGGATGTGGGTACGTTAGTGAAGAGAGAGACCATATCGAAGCTGACCATTATGTCTGTGGGGCGTAGAGACAACCCGTCGATGAACTGGGCGAACTGGTCCGAGTTCTTGATATGATGTGGGGTGTTGCCGACCAGAGGGTGAAGGGTCTTGGTGAGGTGCCTGGCGGTGTTGTAGGTGGGGCCGCCTCGGGAAGCTACGATGGGTCGGAGTGGGATACCGATCTTGTGAATCTTGGGCTGGCCGAAGAATCTTGGACATCTTGTACTGGAGGGTCGGAGCTGTCGGTATAGGGCCATTGAGATGCTGTCTGAGCGTTGGAGGGCTAGGAGCTTAGCCTGGAATCTCTTTTGGATGGAAGTCTTAAAGCTTGTTAGGTCTGGCACCATCCTCACTTTCAGGTCGGGAATGATCGATGCTGACCGTTGTTGTTGTTTTGTTTTAATGGCGCTTTCGGCAACTCAGGCTATTTGCGCCAATAACTGTACGTTTAATTATACACTTTATTAAGCAGCATCACATTACGGAGTTAGGAAGAAGGTCCACTGAGTTTTAGAGGCAGGAGGAAACCGGAGTACCCGGATAAATCATCAAAAAAAAATCGCCGGGCTTCCGAATTCATGACTGTTTTCGGGATGATTATTTTTACAGAGAAATATCTTCTGTTGTCATCAATTATTGCCCTACAAATTGAAAAGAAAATGAAAGATTAGGAAAGGAGCTTTGATTTGATGTGTGCCTTAAACACCTCAGAAACTTGAATTTTACTGAGTTTTTGGACATGTTTGAAGTGGGAGTATCATCCCGTGTCATTGTGTATGCTGTTTCACTTTTTATTCGGTGTGTAGATATCATTTGTAGCGCCCTCACCGGACAACGTACACAAGCCCGTAGCTTAGTCATCGTATCGTGCAGATAATACTCGTAGTAGTCGAGTCGTACGAGTACTGCTTCGTGCTACCGTCGTAGGTCCATGGGTCTAACTGCGTAGGCCTGCCGGTAAGTAGCAAAGATGCTTTAATAGTACTACTACTAACACAGTAGTGGATACAAGCAGATGTTTTCATAATAGCTATTTCGTAACTTGTGAGCTGTATCGATACAATCGATAAATTTAAACTGGACAATTGTGTTGTCCAATTTCCGGACAACATGACTTGACATTTGTCAGCTGGTCAAAATTTGCTGATTAGACCCGTGAACTGGGCACTTCGTATGCTCCTCCGTCGATACTTGGCCCTGACTTGGGATATAGGAAACTTCTGTCTCTTGACATCCGGTAAATGGTAACCTACGGTACATCGATACATAATCCTAGGCATGCTAGGTTATTGTTGGTAAGAGTAAGACTAGAGAAATTTGAGCTCACAAAAGCTAGTGCCTGGGTTGATGTCAAGTGACAGAAGTCACCCTATTTTTTTATATTCCAAGTCAGGGCCTAGTAAGTAGTATTGATGGAGAAGTTCACAAACTGATATCAAAGATATGTAATGTTCTTTTTGCAATTTCGTGGCTCGCAGTATTTTGCAAACTTGGCAACAACCTTGTCAAATTTCTGATTGTCTCAAGGCTAGTACCCTGACTCATTCCAGCTTAAAACATTGTATATAGCAATAAGCTGTTCTCCACCCACATGCTACAATGTTGCAATTTCACTTCATCAGTTTTCATGCTGATTCTGCTGGCTGCCAGATATATTTTTAGCACCTAAACTAAGCAACTTTTTCCAATTCTCTGTCACATTCCCATTGAAGACTCATCGCATTGGGTGATTAGAGTTGATCTATGGTGATAGATGGCATCTGATATTGATAAAGCTGAACTTCTGACACCATGTAAAAATATGTCAGCACAATTTCCAGGTATAGAGAGAGTGTGCGTGCGCAGCACTATTGTATTCCACACTATGTGTGTGACAATTCAGTCACCGTGCTGGTACATATTAAGCAGAAACATACAGGGTACCTGTATCAGGACCGGTTCACTGTCCAGCATCCACTGCTGAACAAATAATACTAATCTGTAAATAACGAGTTCAAAGTGGAAATTAAGCTTCTAAATATTTGATATCTCACATTCATTTCAAAGATTTTTTGAGCGTGAAATTTGATCAAGAATATATGAAAATGGCAGTGCCTTTCATGCAAATGGACTGGCTGCCATCCTGTTTGCATGTGACTGATCAAGAAATGACAGAAGGCAACCTTCACTCTCTCTCGAAAAAAAATTGTGTTTTGCCTTTTGAATCTGGATGTCAATTTACTTTCTTTTAGGTAACAGGAGATGTGAATGTCTTGCACATGTAAATATGCTTCGTTAAAAGCTTCCAGAGTGCATTTTTAGGGTGTGGACACTTTGTTGATACTAGTATTTGCATGACTGAGTTGAACCAACAATGTGGTTTTCCCAGATTGGCAAAAAAGTCAAGAGAGATCTCAATTAAAAAACGCAGCTGACACCAGCCATGGAGGGCTACTCCTACGATGAGGATTTGGCTGAGAATCGATTCTTCATCATCATGCAGACGAAATACAGGCAGCTCTACCAGCAGGCTGCCTCCCAGAGATTACTGGTAAGTCCTACCCACCACACTCCTCATGGCCTCATTTCACCGAGTTGATTGGGTAGAAATAGTTGGTCCCCAGCAAAATCTAACAGAATGACCAGCCAAAAGTCCACCAAAAACATACTACAACTACATATTGCTGTTGCCGAGCAATTTTTGTGTGCTCAGCAAATGTCCGAGCTCCTCATCATGTCAAGATTTCCATGAAAATTGACCCAAGGTAAAAAAAAATTGATTTGATGAGGACTTTAATTTCTGGGTTTCTCCAACAAGAAGATTGTGTTCTGCTTATCAATTTTGTATTTATCATGGTTCCTGTGTGTTAACCCTAAACCCCTAGGCTTTTGTCCCAGAAACAGTACTGAACCTAACAATGTTCAACAGATACATCTTGTATAGATAGTTGCCTGTAATTACTGGTGTATGACTGTATGAATCTTGTTAAACTCCAACAAGTCAACAGCGTTGACGTTTGAATTATTTGGCTTGGATCTGCAGTATATGAATAACTTACAGAAGTAGTGCGGTAGTATCAAACTTAAGAAAATCAAGGTCAGTCCATGGCATGATGCCACTAGCCAATCACTTCACAGAGCAACTGCTACGTGTCCTCACTCAAACAACATCTGACACCAAGGAGTTGAAGCATTTACACAGTCGATTAATGTTGCATGTATGTTTTGGTATGCTGTGGATCTTGAAATCAACAAATTGAGGGAGATTTATGAATCAGTCGTAGAAAAGGTGAAAACAAAACTTTAAATTGTGTTTATGACCGTCTGAGAGTTTCTCGAATTTTTTTACCATTCAGATCTGCATACCAAGGACTGGGGTCTTTGCCCGTTTTTCTCTAAACCAAGCCGACTTTGAAACGCACATACTTCTTCCCAGTGATGGGAAATCAGGACACTACACGACACTCAACAATAAGGTATGTGCTGATTGTAGGGCTGGATAAATCTCCCTGATTTGGGTATCAACAGAAATCAAGGTATTGACACAGAATTTTCACTTGGTATAAGTGCCCCTTCCAAAGTGGCATATGCACAGTGATATGACAGAAATATGACAGATATGACATGCATGTTTGACAGATATAAAGAGGTATGAAAGATGCAGTAGCCCCAACCCTCAAGGGTATTTTGGCTGGAAACGCTGTCAGGCATATCAATATGGATCACTTACAATGCCTGACCAGTGCTTCAAGATCAGACAGGTCAACTGTCCCCAAGGCCAAACGGGTGGGAATCTGTGGTTGCTGGCTACCACAAGATCCAACAGGGGCATTCTGCTGTTGATCACTGCATCTGGCAGGGTTAGGGTCAGAGATGTGACAGACACATGACAGAGATATGGCAGATGTGACTCACAAGACAGCGATGTGACATTGTGAATGTGTGCATATTCAGGTAAAGAAATGGAAATTTTACACATCCTATGTCACTTTCATTGGAGTTATCACAAAACGATCACAGAGCACTACAGGGCATTCTTGCATAGAGTCTGTAGGCCTTGCCCAGGCTATGAGAAATGCATGTCGTTATAGCAGTGAGGCCGCGGCTCCTATCGGTACCCATGTGTTTTCTAGCCACAGCCGGGTAGAATATTGCAAGAAGGAAAGCTGGACAGATTTGTGGTAAAACTTGTATGTGTACTTGAAGCGACTAGAATAAAACATTACAATACCTCATAAACTGCATGAGTAACTGACCAACTAACCAGCTATACTGATCTATGCGGAATCATTTCCATGCTTGCATTTTGTTGCGAGCACAGTGCATCATGTGTCGTGCGTGTAGTACTCACGTCTTGTGATCATAATGTCCAATTAACTGGTGTGCATGTAGCCCCTTTACATGTTCATAAGCAGCGCTGCAGAGGCCAGTGTATGAGACCGATACATGTACCTGTCAAATAGCCCACTCAGTTGCTGTTTGCTGGTCTTCTGGGAATCACACTTCCGTTTCCATCACATCGCATCTTTGTGGTGCAGTAGGGATCATTGCGGATCATAAAGGATAGGTACTTTTGAACTGCACCACAGGTGGACGAGCTGTTTTGGAAGAACTCTTTACTTAATCGTTCAAAAACTTTTTTATCCTTAACAGGAGGTACAACTCAGTGGCGACGCCATAACCACCACCAAAGGCTTCAAGGAGATCCGAATTGTTCACATCCTATTTGAAGAGACCTACTACAATGATCGGGATGAGAGTTACAGGGTGGTCTGCATCGACAGGCAGCTAGAAGGCGGCAACGGTATGTCCCTTCTCGATTTCTCTGCGAAACGAGATTAGCACAGTCTACTGAAGCAGGTGTAATTTGGGTACCGCAGTCGTAGCTGTGAATTGTCTAGAGAGAAGATTTGGAAAGGACTGGAGAGATTTGGAAGGGAAAACTCAAAAGAGTGGCTTTTAATGAAAAGCTGTGTAACGATAGATTGACTAAGTCAATGTAGTGTATCAGGTTGGATTTGAACTGGGGTTAGTGTAAGGTGAGAGAGTACGTATTTACCCATGCTAAACGAATCAATCCATTTTTCAGTACCCACATGTCTACATGTATCTAACACCAGACAACCTATCCTTTCTGTGCATAGAAACAACAGTTGTAGCACAACAGCTTCTCATCAGGGACAGAATTTTTGCATGTTAAGTCATGTGGTTAGCCTGTTTAATTGGTTATCAGTCTACATACATGTATATCTTGTGATGCCCTTCATGTACATGTACAAGACGAGCTATCTGGCACCTGTATGTGCAGCACAGATATATTGATGCTGATTCCTACATCTACCTGTCCCAATGAATCACTGTAATGTGGTGCTAAAACACTCAGTACATGTACATGTAGTTCTCAGTGGAATAGCTGTTAATATGCATATCGTATTTGTGCACAGTATTTCACTATTTGACAGGCTAGGGTTCTACTTTTTTTGTCAAGAATTGTTGGCCCATGATAGTGTTTTGAGTAAGAGTGTACAAAATGTGCTCTAATGGGACAACACAAATATTGCTATTACCCTATTCTGGGCACAATTATCACTTCCTGTCCCCATTATAGCTGTCAAAAAAATTATTATTTTATTGTACAAAATTGTGTGAAATTTATTTGTAAGAATTATTACTACCCTTTACTCACCGGGCTGGTATTTAATCCTACAATCTAACATCTGTTAGATCAAGCCAATAGACTATATTCATGCGTCGGCCATCTTGAATTGAAAGTGAGGTTAACTTTTCATTGTTGGTACCTGAGAGTAAAATAACAGAAATGAAATTAATATCAGTACAGAGTCATACATGTACCAGTTTCTGCTTGGAAAAATTTTGAAATTTGTGATAGGTTACATCTAAATGTTTTAACCCTGAAAGAGCCGAGAGGGGGGCCCACCTCCCCTTTGACACTCTTTCCGATAATATCATTGCATCATTTTTTTTAGGAGCTGAACTTTAGGAGTTCTTAGAATAACTCTGTGCAGTCATTTTGACTCCAATTTTGTGAAAAGTAAGCATAATGTTCTTGTGGCCATAAGACAGGTCAACCAAAAATTTATGCTTTTCTCCCACCGTGCTCAATACATCCAAAAAACCCAAAATCTGGAAGTTAGACTTGGAACCCAAAATAGTCTGGCACCGGCTCAATACAGATTGCACTAAATAGGATACATTCAGGGAATAAGATTGAAAATGGCTCCCTTGCCTTGTGAATAAGACCTGTTTATTCAGTTAAAGCAATTTGATTGACACTTGAACTCACATGTACTGTTGCCTATGCAGAGGTGGTAGAGGATCCTGTATCTACATGTCTAGAGACCTTAGATGACTGCACGGATTTCTTGTGGGGAAGTAAATGTGAGTACGGAAACACAGCATATAGACCTTTCTTTGTATACAAACACTGACTGCCCTTTTGTACGGGGGACCAAAGTCTGCATAATGCATAATGCCTCAAAACCCACCTGTGGTTTGATGGCTGGTAAAAGATGAGGCATATTCATTTAGTAGAAGTATTTGTCATACCGGTATTGAGGGATTTACATGTAATGGTTGGGCAGGTTTATTTTTAACAGATTGTACGTTAATTTCTGTTTTGTAGTCATGGTCAGCAATAGTTTTGCTAACCAAGCTTGATAAAATCTTTGCTTGTAGGGTAGCATAAGACAGGTCTGTTGTATTTGTGCATTGAATGTCTTGATGGGAAAAATTAGTTGATGCCTTTTCAACACTCATGATTTGCGTGCTTCCTCAAATTGAAATGATCGTGCCTTTACTGAATTTTTTATGCCTTTTTTTGTCTCGTTCTAAAGCAAGCTAAATGTGAAACAAGCTAAACAGAAATTTACAGTTACTTTGTGGAGTTCATTATCTTAGTCACAGTAGTTTTCCTCAACCATGGACAGACGGCTTCCATGATTTATACACGTTTCTCATTTCAGTAAACTGCCCAGTAGTTTAAGATCACCGTAGTCACAACTTTAAACGGTCACAGTAATTGTTCCGTACAAATGCCGACAGGTACATTGAATTGGAGGTTTATTACATAAACTTTATGCATGTAGGATCAAAATATCACTTGCTATGTATTCCAGCAAATGTGGCAACCCACTTAAAGTCAAATTTTGAAGGTTTCTGGATGGTCTGATCGAAAATAATAGAAACAACATGTTGACTTGTGTGTTGTGTAAGTATCACCGAACATGGACAGAGTGCAATATTATCGGCCAGTTGTGCTCATTTTTCTACAGACAGCAAATTTTCCCAGAAGCAGGTGGATGACCTCATCACTAACTTCCGGAACACCAATCAACAGATGGAGACGCTGCGGCACACCATTGACGAGACTAGCTCTCTTTTTGCTAGCACCATGCAGATAGCTCTGAAGGACTCCGTATTGGTAAGATGGCTTTATCTTGCGTCAGACATCTTGGCCTCATCCCCTGTAGTCACCAGAATAATGTACACGTAGATCCTATTCAGTTGCCATGCAAAATAGGGACAATGCACTTAAAGATTTTTTTTAATAGTTCCTTGCCACGTTAAAGGAACCATTACCTAGTGCCAATGTCAAGGGCTCTATTTCTATAAAGGACTGTGCCAAGAAGATAAGAAAAAGCGTAAACAACTAAAGTGTCAGCCATCTTGATCTTGTATCCTGAATTCAAAACACCTGTGTAACTAGACTCTCCTCTTAATCACATTGCTGTTGACATGCAAATAACCCTAAAGTACTGTACGTTAATGAAACCAGAAGAGCTACCAGGTTAACCAGGTTGGTATTCCTGCCCTGTTTTCCAGACAGATGTTTGAGATTCCTTCTTCAAGCCTTGCTGCACTGAAGAAGTTCATTGTTTGGTAGCAATGTACAAGTGGTAATGGAGAGGCCCAGATGTGGCCAAAATGACATTTTTTCCACATTCGCCCCTGTGCAATAAACATCATTGATGCCCTTTCACTCAGCAAGTGCAATTAGACCTAGGTACATGTAGGCACTTTGGGGTTTTTCATTGCATGTTCTTTGTGCCGTTCTCGTTTTGTGGCAGCGCAAGACGGTACGTCAGCATCACGGTCACATGGACAACCTGAAGACGTCCATGGAGACCTACATCCTGCATGGGGTCTACGGAAAGGTCTTCAAGGCCATCAGTTCCTTCTTAGCCAGCCAGGTAGATCTCAGATTTCCTGATAGATTCAGGGACAGTTTCGTCAGGCGACTTCGCCGTAAACAGTCCCAGCAAGATAAGTCATACTTAGTAGGAAGTTGTTTCACTTACTCCTGCGGTGTATTGGCTGGGTGCAGTTACTGGCCCTCTAATGAGGAAGAGGTGAAATTTACTGTTACCTGTGGGAACCTATTCCTGAAGTACTTGTGGCAACTTGGAAGTCGTACTGTTGGATGAGGTTATGCAAAGTTAGCCTGGTTATTTCCTTTGCAGCTCTAGAAGAGTCTGCCGTGTCATACTAAACTATTGCACTTAGGTTCAATCTTCGACCTACAATACTTCAAATAGCAGTGTGAGGTCATACAGTAGTAGGTTGATTTCTTGTCTGTTTTTTAAAACAATTAGCAACCAACGTTTGTGAAATTGTTTCCCCCATTAAACTAAACAATCGCAGTTATAGAATTCGGAGCTAATTCTGTAGGTTGACCATTATTACGCATATTATGTATGCAGAAAAGGCCTCGTGAGGAATGCCAAATCTAATTTTTTTTTTGCTCTTGGGCAGGACGCAGCATTGAACAAGATCACCAGGAACCTGTCCGAGCTCCAGGTCCGCGACGTCGGCGTCCGGCCGGAGTTCACGGCCAACGTGCCCCGCGCCAGGCGCGAGCTGTCCACGCTGAACCAGTACCGGACACCGCTGGAGAAGCTTCACTGTTTACGCCGCACCGTCATGGCCATCAGCCAGCCCGGATTCAGAGCGCGCTCCAAGGAGCCAGGTTAGCAGGCCAGAAGTACAACTGAAGACTTCATTATTTTGGTTATCTTTGATAAGTCGACCACAGTTTTGGCACATGCTATGAGAAGAGACAAATTTGGAGATTTTGAAGCAGAAGAAAAAGTCTAAAATCCATAAATAGTTAATTAAGGACACCTGTTACCAAGCCTGGTTAACAGGCTTTTATATGAGCTCTCATGTACACATGTTAAGGCATGTGTTTGTTTGGATCCAGTAAGATTAATATGTACCAGGTAGCTGGGTTTGCTTTATTTTTAGAAAGAGCATTCTTACGTATGGTTTTTGTGTAAACTGAACAAAGTATAGAGCTTCAGAAACCTAAAACCCTTATTGACATTGGAGGCTTTCTTTTCTTTAAATCATACAGCTTGTTAATCTTTAAGTTCCCCCATGTTCATTGACATGTGCTTGGAGTTTACATGTACCGCCAAGGATGTTTTTGGTATGGGACTGAAAGGGCTGACAAATAGAGGAGACAAACAGATTTTAACACAATATTTTGTTCTATATTGAATTGTGCACAGTATGCCTGGGGCTTTCGAAGCACTAGTTCAGAAATTTGGGAATCCTACTCCAATGGACTGGCATCCCTTGAGGAGACAGGAAGATGTTGACCTTGTTTTTTCTTGACTTTGTCTTCAGCTCCGGCGATGTCTTCTGACGACCTGCTTCCCTTGCTGGTGTACCTTGTGGTGAAAGCTGACATCCCTAACTGGTTGGCCAACCTCACGTTCATGATGAACTTTCGTTTCTCCAGCTTTGCTGACGGGGAATTCGGGTAAGTATCAATCCTCTCCTTCACTTTTGGGGCTTACCGATTCAACAATGTTCCTACTTAACACATCAAGTACTTTCCTGGATGTTGTGAACCGTCTTTACCCGGTTGTTTTTAAGGCAGATGGGACTCAAACCTACAGTTTTCCTGATGTGAATGTAGCTTGAATTATTTTAAGAGAATTTTAAGAAAATGCAGTTGTGCCTTTGTCAAGGATAGGATCAGCTGCAAAGCCAAATTTGATAGAAATGGAAATGAGCTAATTGCCGAGGTAGAAAGCCAGACAGAAGATGGTCTGTTAGAAAATCTGGCTAGACTGTGAGCACGCAATAGAAGAACACAAAGGCTGAATAGATGATGGGAGGGTTACATATAATGGAGCATGGTGACATTAATTGGGTGCCCAGGGTTAAGTATAGGGACAGATGAAAGACTGACAAAGAAGTTTTCTGTAGAATGACCTGGTTGATAGACAAGCTGACGTAACATTCATGCTTGAGACCTGACCTTGCTGTGCACAGCAAAGTGCCACATGTGTGCAAAACTGGGGGACTTTCTTGTATTGGTCAACCACAGCTCTTTGAAACAACGTCTCGGTTAAACCTTGTGGTAGCTGGCAATCGCATACAATCTGAAGGTGTCCGGCCTTGGAATGATCGACCTGCCTGATCTTGTTGAAACAGTGAGCAGCCTCCTCAGGGCCTGTTTTTTTTTTCATGCTATCCAGATCGCAATCAGTTAACCAACGTTGGTTTGCTGATACCAGAATCCACGTAATGGATAGTACGAACCCGCTTTGGGATCACTGACGGAGATCCAGATCACTTTGACTCACTTTGACAGCTGTTGTGTTTTATTGCACTGGGCAAAGGCTTAGAGCCCAACTAGTGTTGGGGTAGAGTTCTATAGGAATAGGGTGAGGCCACGGTGTGACAGGCCCTCATTGGAAGAAGTCCTGAGTCAGTTTTGTTCTTTTCTCCATCAGATTTTATTTGGCCTCCATTGAGGCTGCTGTAGAGCATGTCAAGATGGGTAACATGAGCAACGTGGTGATAGGCGCGGCCAATCCGCAGAAGCTGCACGTGCTGCGCAAGATGATGTCAGCGGACAGCATGTGGCAGAACATAGACCAGAATGACGTAGTTGACACGTCAGCAATCGACGTATTCTTCCAGGTTGGATACAGTTCCTGCCACGCTGGAATATCTGAATACTGAATCTGAATATATCCTAAGTACCTGACTGCTCAACAGTTTGGCTGTTACTTATTTGCTTTGATATTGTCCACGGTGTTTCGTCCGTTGGAGGTTGGAAATTGTATCAAGCCATGCTGGTGTACAATGTGCCCATGACAGATTTCTCAACATCCTCAAACCTTTTTGCTATGTCCCAGCATGCCAGGGAGGGTCACACTACTGAGGTGGCCAAGATGCTGGAGCAGAGCTCCAACGATCAGAGCTGGCTGCTAGACCAGATGTGCCACCCGCTTTGCGGCTGTGACAAGTGTGAGGAGCTGGTCGCCACGTGAGTAAAAGCAAAAGAGCCTTCAAATCGTCCGCATGCTGATCTAATAATAAGTTTGAGGAGAGAGTGTACATGTACAGTAGCTGGTAGAAATCAGTCATTTCAAGAGCCATCAATATGTCTTTGTAAACATCATTATATCTTCTCGTAGCAATTGTAAGTGTGTGGAATAATTTTTGTCCGTGGTTTGAAACCTGTCTGGTTGCTGATAATGGCCTGAGCCTACATGACTCTCCGAATTCATCAGTATTGCTTTGGCTAGAAAGTCAAAATGATCAAAAATTGAACATGGCAATTCATTTCCAGTTCATCAACAAATCAGATCAATAAATAGTTACCGTTTTGGAGACTTGAGATTGAAAACTTCCTCAGTGTGGGAGCTTATAACACCATTTCAGTGTGGTAGTTCAAAGGTTTGGTGCTTGAAACCCCACTCTGGTGAGCTAATCCAGAAATTAATTATGAAGAAATGAACATCATTGTTCAATTATTTCTTTGTCGTTCAGGAAGCGAAACGATCCACGGGCTGTCACAGCATCATCTAGAGATGATAGGGGCTGCACTGCCATGCATGTAGCAGCCATGTATGGTAAGACTTTCCAGTGAATAGTATTGGCACTTCTTGAATCAGCCGGTTTGTTAGCGTAGCTGTGTTTGTTTTTTTGTACCCTTTACCAACGTTACATTGCAGACTACAACTGAAGGATGAAGTATACATGGAAATGAGTGGCAGGATGTAGGAACCCAACTACACAAGCATATAGAGGAAGCTATTAACAATAACAAGAACATTACCTTAGCCATGCTGTATTCAACAAGATACTGTGTGATTTACTGTAGATCTTAAGGTAAAGGACTACTGAAATGGGAGTTATCCTCAAAGGCCGCCACCTTGTAGGAAATGGACAAGACAAAATACCTAACGTGAAATCAACTTACCAAGAGAACACAATGCAACAAATATTCCAAGAAATGTTGTTTTGCTTGACAATGTACAACATTACGCATAATCGTAATGGAGCGTCTAATAATCCGGAGTAGTTGGAACATTCCATTCAGAACACTGTGTTCTCAGTCAGGAACATGCGGTAGTTCTGCTGGGAACAACGGGCTCCCTCCAGAATGCTGTCCCAACACAGACTATGCACAAAGCTCACTGTTCTCGCTAACACATGAGCATTCTGATGGAACGCAAACATTCCTGACTGCCGAGATGCTCCCTCAACCTCATATATTCAATGTCCACGTCCCAAACCTAGTTTGCTGCTTTTCATGAGAATATCCGTACATCCTACAGGTCATACTGACGTAATCAACGTCCTTATACTGAGAGGTGGGGACATCAATGCTACTGATTACCACGGCTCCACACCGCTTCATGTAGCATGCAGTCGAGGCCAACAGCACGTCACGGTATTTACTATCATTATAAAGTCTCTGATATATGGTCAAAATTACACTTGATCATTACGTGTACAGCCACTTCCATTAACTTAAAGCTTGTAAGCTTTAATATTGTGGCTGATTTTTCCATGGTTACCACGATACCCAACTCTAAAATACTGTTCTACGAGTAAAAAATCAGGGTACCAGCTACCTGTACTGTGTTGACCTCATGAGTGTTCATTTTTATGTTTTGGCGGGGGGCAGACTTGTGATGGGTCACAAAATTTACCGTTTTGTTTTAAAAACATTTGGTAAAATTTATATCTAGCAGCAACCCTTTGGAGTAGTTGAACCGAAACTACCCTGTTTCTCTTCCTTTGTAGTTATTGCTGTTAGATGAAGGAGCTTCAGTGAATATTGAAGATAATGACGGCAACACCCCTCTGCATCTCTGCTGTGCCAATGGCCATGAAGAAGTACGTTCCCTCTCTCTCCTTCCCCACCAAAAAAACAGAAAATAGTGCCAATAGACTACGGAGATTACCCACCACTGTGGTGACACCTCGCTGGCATTCATGGCGCCTGTGGCACCCATGTTCTGAATGCTTGAGGCACATGTACATTTTTGCAAGTAGCAACACCTGGTGGGAGGAAAGATGTTTAGCTTAAATGTAAAACTGCATGTTGGCCGGTTGTGGCATCTTATTCTGCTTGTCACCACTTTTGTGTGGTCGTTTGTGTTTCTTAAAGGTACAGTCCATCACTAAACGGTAATATTAAAAAATTTATTGTTGACAAGCGTACTTGGTTTAAAGATGGTTATGGGGAGGTAAAACTCCCTGTGAAATTATTCTTGTTAGCAAGCTGTCATTTGGAAGCAAACTAAAGAAGGCAAATACCGAGGATTCAGACACATTTTTGGAAATTGCCACCAGTAGTTAGCTGGTAATTCAACCAAGAGTTGACGTGACATACATGTGTATGGTTACCATAATTTCTTGGTTCAATGCTCGACATGTTGCTGCCTTTGGCTAAATGAGAATGCACCCTGGGCACTGAATTCGGACGCAATTCTAAAACATGACTTTGCAATTTATGATTGGAAATCTAGATCTTAGAATATTGTTTTTCTCGTAGAATACAGCATTCACTGGGCTGCACAAATGACAAATGATGGACTGTACCTTTAATGCATAGTTTTTTTTGAATTAATGTTTGACATCTTTCTGTTAAAATTTCTCATTAAACAAAAAAGGACATTTAGGATAAAAGTCTGTGTTGATGCCATTGAACTATCGCTTGATGTTAGCATTGATTTTGAATTGATTCCTAGTGTGTCAAAGCAATGATGTACAGCAGTCAGTCTGTTGATGTCAATGCCGCCAATTGCCAGGGCGATACACCGCTACATCTCACCACCAGATGGGGATATGGTAAGCTACTGGTGTTGGGCTTCACCATCAGCCTTTTTTTTAGCGATTCCAAGACCGGGGAGTGGGGGGGGGAGTTGTGTTAGAAAGTGCTCATTGGTGGAGTTGTGACTGGGGCAAGCACCAGTCGGTCACTTTTCAGTTGGTATAGACAGTGAAGGGGGTTGACAGGGTTTTGCCTCTCAACTTGAGTCAGAATAGCTTACAAGCGACTTGTGGTGAAGCAACGATTGGATTACAAACCTTGTCAGTGGCTTGCTTAGCAGTGTGTGGTATTACCTAGTTCATGTGACATTGTTGCAACTTTTGCTATGCCCACTTACGCACTGCAGCATTGGAAGCCTTGTGTAGTAGTGGGCAGTTGCATATTTAGCCAATGGGTAGCGCTCACATGTATGATACAGATATTTGTAAGGTAGACTAAATTAGACTTAGTGAGGTTACCAAAATAACCAGTCATTGTTGTTTCTTAAATTTCACACTGCTTTACAACCAATGAATTTGCTCATCAGTTTGACTTCATTAATCAGGAGAAGTGAGAAATAGGTTTGTGGGTACACCATGGAAAAATTTCATTAAATCAGCCGGCCATGTTATGGTGTATTCCTCTCATACTGAGATCTGAGCACACGTAGTGAATATTGTGTGAGTTAATGCACAGCCAGCCAGTGTTTAATCAACTGTCTTGGACTGGCCATGTGACAGGCTCTTGACCAATAGGAACGGCTAAACTGTTTCAGTTTTGTATTATATGAATAGTTGTTCATCTTAAATCAGTTTGCAACACATTTCTTTATTCTATCAAAGCGGGACGAGGAGATCACATTTCATCCATCATTGCGCACATCCTTACCCCGTGGCCACTTCACCATTTCTTCTCGCCCACTTCTTCTCTTTTGTGCCATAGAAAGCCTCGTCAAGATCCTGCTGGAGCACGGAGCATCCGTCGAAGCCCGCAACCGAAGGAAGGAGACGCCCATCATGTGCTCCTACAACGTCAACGTCAGCAGGAGCCTACAGCAAGCCAGCCAAAATGCAGACGGAAAGGACAACTACATTCAGGTATTGATGCTCATTCCCCCCCCCCTTTTCAGTGTCATGTCACTTCAGAACAACCGATTTCCTGGTGCAGTGCACTTTGAGAATGTACTTTAATTTAAAGTGACTCTGGATAGATGGGATGGAATCCCCTTTAGTATTTTCTTTTGTATCGTCGCGGTGCATGTTTGTTCTTGCCTGGCCCTCAGGTGGTGTTCTGCAATCATTTTGACACCATTGCCATGAACGGTGGACTCACCGTTCTTTTAAAATGCTTATTTTTCAATGCGTGAGGGCCAATGTGTGAGGACAGGACCTATAAATTAACCTGCCATCAAAAAGAAACCTCACATCAAACCCATGGTCCCACTAAATTTAAACTTCAGAGATGTACTCATGTTAATGTCTTACATGTTTCAAAAAGATTGAAGATAGGATAGCTGAGATCTCAGTGGCTGTGAGATGGCCTGAAAAAACCTGTTTTTTTTTAAAGCATCTGACTTCATGTTGGCAGATTAAGCATATGTAATAGCATCAGCATATTTGAACTCATTAAGAATAAGTTGGCGCTCAGTTGCACTGAAAGGGCAGTGTTGTAGTTGAAAACTTTTCATGTACCAAATTTCTTGCCTAATTTTGAACTGGTCAGGAGGAAATAAAGCCGGAGAACACGGGCATTGGTAAATACACAACGATAAGATTACAAAATAAAGGGTTGACTTCTGACCATCACCGTTTAATGGAAAATAGGTTTTTAGGATGAAAGCACTAGAAAAGTCCTTGACCAAATACTTTTCAGGCACTTTTCTCCTTGAAACTTAATTTGTACCAAACAGAGAGTGTCTAAGTCTTCAATTTATTTTGTAAACTTACCTTTGTGCATTTACTATCATATGTCCACTGTTCTGTCTTTGCTCCCTCCTAGCCTAAGTTCAATATTTGGCGGTGAACTTGGTCAATACTGTGAAAGGGCCCATCTCAGGCATTTGTATTGATCATCCTACGCGGCCTTCAACACTCTTCATTTTGTACTTGCTCCTATGGAATACCAAATTATGCAGTTGGGACTCTATGCCTGTATTGTCTTTTCTTTGTTTTGCAGGCCTCTAGTCCCCCCATAGCGTCCTCCTTCAGCCCGCCCGACAGCACCGATTCCTTCACCACAAGTTTTGCCAAAACAGCCAGCAGAACGAGACCGCGATCGAGGAGGAGTTCCTCGCCGTACAGTAAAATGGTGAGGGACACCTAAACCTTGATCTATCTGATGACATTCCACGGTCTCATTCAAAACCTTACAAAGCCTTGTTTGTGAAAAGCTAGAAAATCAGGTTAAAAAAATCGAATGGGAATTTACACTTGGGTAATGTTAAATACAGTATCATGCTGTAAGTCTTCAGTTTGGACTTGATGTTTGCTTCCATTATCTTTTTTGTGTTTCCCTTTAAGGTACAGCCAAACAGTATTTGAGATCACAGGATAAGGTCCATAAAGGATTATCAGATTTAATGGATGCTCTGTAAAGCCGATCTGTATTCATTTGTTTTTGCTTGAGGCATCTGTATTGGAAATTGAAAAAAAAAGGATCATGACACAGAAATACACATGATTGGTGTTGTCTCATACTTACATAGCTGAGGCTGCTTTAAACTTCATTGGACAGCAGCCTTTATATTTTGGATGGTTAATGCATAGAAACGTAATTTTGTTCTGGTAACAGGTTGAGAAGCTACTCAGGTCAGTAGCGGATGGAGACCTGTTGATGGTCAAGTATCAGCTGGGGTGGCTGAGCGATACCGATGAGAGCGACGACGATGAAGAAATCTCATTGGATGCCAAACTCTGCCACCCTCTCTGCCAGTGCAGCAAATGCGCCACCCTCCAAAAGGTACAGGATCAATGACGATATTAAAGTCCCCCCTCGCCCAAGGAAAAACTTCTGTCTGATATCATTGCAGTGCGTGTTGTGTTTCGTGCATGAGCCAATACTGTCTTGCAATCATTTTGATGGCAACTGGGCAAAACGTTCTCCTGAAATGCCCATATTTTCAAGAAAAGCCAGCAAAAATTTTAACTTTTCCCGCTGGCATGTGCTCATTGCACTTCAGGAGAGACATGTCTGATTAAAGTAAAACTTCTCAGGAATGGGCTTAAAGGATGTCAGTGCATGCATGCCAAATTTTGAAAAGATATGTCATGGCATAGCAGAGTTCTTAGGGGTAGAATCCCAGAGGCAGAGAAGGCTTAAAAGAAAGTTCATGTAGGATTTACTCATCTGTAATGCCGTGCATGCATGGGGTGAGCTTATAGCTGTACGGTGATGATCAGGTGAAACATTTGAGACTTGTCTGTTGTCTCAACCTAACCCAGCATTAGCTCATCTCTGGGTCATTCCAAGAGGTTAGGGCACAATTTGTGACGGTATCCATTGTTACGTGGGTTCGGTAAAAATGAACAGCTATTTGCTTACATCTGGCTTCCTAATTGACATTGTTATACATCTTGCAAGGCTGAATACAGAGGTGTGTGTGATTTTTACAGAGTAAATGACCTACTCTACAGGTCATGACAGACGGTAAAAGTTACCCATGTAACAAGGACACCGTCACAACTTGTGCCCCATCCTCCTGGAATGACCCCTTTAGACTAGCACACTGTTACCATCTCCTGTGATTCAGAGGCAAGCTTTGCGCTAGCAATCTGCTGCTCTGGAATGGTCCGGTGTCTTCCTGACCATTCTTGTACATCATGAACTAGATGTGTACCAGTCCAGGGGGGTTGTCTCACATATTAGGCTCTGCAAGAACTTGCCTTGAGATAGCAACAGCCTTCAAGTTTGATCTGCAGTTGGGTTGTTAACGACACAAGATTTGAACACCGAAATTCGTGCTTTGAGTATCTACTGATATTAGCCTCGAGGGTGAAAGTATATTGGCTATCCATTCAAGTAAATGGGTTATTCATAGCCTGGACCAGTTTCAGTAAGAGTACCACTGATGAACGTTGTATGTTTTTTCACAGAGAACTCTAGTATCCTCTTCAGGCCTCAGTGTCAACTCCTGTAACTCTGAAGGTTTCTCCCCCCTACATGTGGCGGCCGTACACGGGCATGATGCCATGGTGTCACTCTTCATACGCAGAGGGAGTAACATCAATAGCCGGAGTGGCGGCAGCCAACAGTGCACACCCTTACACCTGGCTTGCCAGTACAACCACCCGTTGGTGAGAACATGTGACATACTTGCAGATTTGTCGGGGGCACGTGGCCTAGCAGTTTAGGGCTTGTAGTTCGCGATCATGGGGTCTGGGGTTCGAATCCCAGACCTGGCTGCATGTTGTGATCTTGGGCAAGGCAGTTATTCCTTACGTGCCTCTCTCCACCCAGGGGTATTTGTGGGTATCTGTGAGGATAGAGATAGGGTCTGTTACACCTGAAATGGCAGTACTGAGTTGTATGCTCCTCAGTGAACTGAGATGGTTACAGCCAAGTTCACATGTTGCAAGTCTGCAAAGTCTGAAAAACAGAAGTGTTAGATACTGTATGCCTTAATAGCCCTAACAGTCCTTAATCCTTCAATTTCAACGTGATTTTACAAACAGCCTTACGGGGGTTAGGGTTAATGCTCTGATATTAAATCTGTGTCCATGTCCGGAAATGGTACTGTTGATGTTCTCAGTTTCAGATATGGGTCAAAATCCTCATTCCTGTCCTCATTTAATGCACTCTGTCAACCTGTCATTGTTGCTTTGGTTTGAGCTCTACTCCGCTACCTTGTATTCCAGTGTACTTTGGGGCCCAGTTAAGGACTCCATTATGACATTTTGCCTCCTAGAATTTCATAGCTTAAATCCACCTCGTGGGATAAGGATTTTGAACAAGGGGCTGCCCAGCTACTGAAATTGGGCTTGAACCTTGCAGACTGTGTAGGGACCAGTTTCATAGCTCCACTTACTAGTCCACAGAAAATGAAATGTGTCCCCAGTGTAGCAGGAAACTTAAGTTTTGGTTAGAGTGAAACAGCTTGTTTGCAGCTCTGGCCTATTGCCATTGCTTCTGCGTGCATGAAGAGTTCTATTTTGACTTCTTTTTGTGATTTTAGTGATTTGTTTGACACTGTAACTTATGCAAACTTGGAGAAACACGTATACAGGAAAAAGTGAGAAGAAATGACAGTTATGTTGCCTGCTGTTCTTATATAATTATACATGAGTAGTTGGTGTACCTCTTTTCTATGCTCGCTGGTCATGGTCCTTCTGTGGATAGAGGCTCAGAAAATAGGGCTCTCGGCAGTTGATGATGTGGATGATGAGAGAAAAAAAACAATGTGCCAATTTGTCTGTGTCCATTGCAGGTAGTTATTCAGCTGCTGCAGCATGGTGCCAAGAGCAACATAAAGGACGCCAGGGGCAACACCCCGCTGCATTACTGCTGCCTGAACGGCCACGTCAAACCTGCAAGATTCTTGATCAAAGTGAGCCAACTTTTTTTGGCCCGGGATTGACCCCTGAAAGATTTGAGTTACATGTGCCATGATTTTGTGCGAAGAATCGGTGGATTGTCTGTGACAATGTAGCATGTTACTGTCTATGGAGTTGTTAATGGGTACATAGAGTGAAATGCTTTGCACAGTATTTGCTGGGTTCTCTGGTGTTTTTCATTTCTACATGCATTTCAAGGAGACCACTCAGCTCCTGACTTTTGAGTCGCACTTTGTGCTGAATATAGAGAAATTTATCAAGGTGGACACCTTCCAAAGTCTGTGCATGATGCCTCTCAAACACAGCTCTGGCGACTTCTTACTTCTTTGTCGGGTCAGTGGACATTTCACGATGGCCGATAATTCTTTTGCCCGCAGCACGGTGCCAACGTCAACCAAACCAACCACCGGGGCAACACGCCCTTGCACGAAGCGGCCCGATGGAACTTCTGCCAGGCCGTCCGATCGCTGATTGAGGAGGGCCGCGCAAGCCCCTTCGCCCGGAACAAGGCTCAACTAATGCCCATCCAGCTCACCCAGGTAGGTGTGCCTGTCGTGCCCCCCCCCGGCAGGACCAGTTGACATGGCTGACAGTGCTCTGCATTCTGGGCTTCCTCTGCACCTTGGCTTCAGACTTCAGTTTCACAAATCTAATTATCGCAATAGAGACACTGTGGCTTAATGGAGCCCCACTCATGCCAACATGCACATCAAAATTGTCTTTCATTAGGCCAGTGGTTTTTATTAATTAGTACAGTGCACATTTTATGTGTACTGGTACTTTCAATTTTAACAGAAATCTTACAAATAAAGTACCCTATTTACTTGAAATTAAACAGACATAGATTATCATCTGATTTACACTTGAAATTTTGATAAGACCTCAATTCATTTAAGCACACACATAAAAAAGTCACAGTTCGTGGATGACCTTTTGACCCTTAATGTGACCTGAAAACGCGTTGTCCAGTTTTGGCAAATTTGGTGTCAAAAGTTGAACAAGACTTCGAAGAAAAAAGTTGTGAAAGGACATTTTGATATTAACAGGGGTTTGGAAGAAGTGGAAAATTTCCGTGGGGTTGTCACTGTACTGTAGTCTGTATTGGGTAAAGTGTCATAAAATGATAACCATCAGAAAATTTACCTCTTCCCTGATGCGTTTCACAAGTTGTATACTGAAAGATTTCTGTGATCTTGCTATTGCAGAAGGAGTAATAAAATTAATTTCAATTCTGTTTTTGGATTGAAACTAGAATGACGATGTAGTAAAAATCCTACGCCATGCAGCTTTGACGGCCGATCATGATCTGGAAGAGGTCAGCTCACCCGACCCCGGGTCAGATGTCACTGACGAGCCAACCAACTCCCTACCTTCACACGTTGCATCCCATCCGCTAGCTAGGCAAACAGCGAAGACGACCAATGAAAGTTCACCCCCAAATCTTGGTAAGTGCATATGCCACCTTTTGGTTTTGGACAGTTCTTGTGATATGACAGTCTCAATATTGATGCTCAAATGTACAGGTACACCTGTTACATAATATGATCATCCATATTTTTCCCTAATGTCTTGCATAGCCCAACAACATTTTCTTCTTGTTTGCATATGAACCGTATCACAAATAAGCTTATTTCATTGTTTTATGAGGGACTGAAGAAGCCACATAAAGAAGCAGGGACATATCCAGGAAATTTTTCAGTGGGTGTTTTTTTTTTTTTGATGCCTGATTGTTATGGACATTCAGACACATTAAGGTCATGCATTACATAGTTACTAATGTACAAATAATAACCCTTATAGAATGTCATCTTTTTCATTTTACGTAAATCGTTATTTCATTGATTTGTCCGGAATATGGAGGGTTTCCACTCCCCCTCCGCAGATCTGCACCAGAGCAGCGCCACAAAAACAATATGCACAAGTCACAAACATTTATAAATCCATCTACAAAAATAACCAGGAGACTGTTAAGCCTGGTTTTCATATGGTCGTTTGTAACGCAAGACATCAAGACACAGACAGTCGCAGAAGAGATGCGGCGCAACATCATTCCACCCAAAAATTAAACAAAATGGCTTCTAAAACTTGGAAAATCTTTGCCAAGAATGCCATTTTTAGGTGGCAGTGTTTCCTCTTGAAGCTAAACTGATACTCCAGTTTAATTGAATTTGTTAAAGGTCAGGTACTGTGTTGACGATGGGGGCTACAGATGTAGTAATAAGGAGAAAATGGACAGAATGAGTGGTACCAAGCGAGAGAAACATCGTTGTATGCCCTCATGCCAGCGTGCGTGTTTGTATAGGCCTACTCAGTGACTTGACGCAGACAGTCTGCAAAGTTGAACCGGTATCAACTTTACCAATCTCTCTGGGGCTGGTTTGCGTTATCGGCAATACTTCTGTTTGATATGTTTCCATTTGTCTGCTTGGCAGTTTGCGTCTTGATTGCATTGCTCTCTGCGTTTCTTACGTTGATATGGAACCCAGGCTTCACTGGAAGCAGATTGCTTATGGAATGGAAGCAAATGTCATGGGAAAATCAGCCAGTCTAAAGTGCCTAGAAGAAATACAAAGAAGTTGTGTCGGTTGTAAAAGTTGTCATTAGCGTTTGAAATACTTGAGGAAACAAAGAACTCATTTAGCTCTGAATCTTAGAAGTTAGGGTTTGTCCAAAACCCATAAATGGCCACCCTCAGCTTGCCTTCTCTGTCACAGTTTGCTGTGAGGGTCACTTTAAACCACTTTTCGCCCCCTCATACTTCGCTGAATATTACCGCAAAACGCTTGGACTGATTACAATTAATTTGATAACCTTTGGTTGACTCGGGCATCGGAACCCACCCCTGGTACTCTTGCAACTTGCTCACACGTTTCCAATTGAGGGGATGCTGAGATGGTTTATAATGAGTTCCGGACAGCACGTGCCCAAGGCCCTAATATGTCTCAACAGAGAGATTGGCAAATCATGTGCCGGAGCAGGAGATCGGCGAAATTGCTGTTGAGATGCTAATCTACTGAGAAGAGCTACATGTACAACCCCCCCCCTCCTTTGGGCCACTAATGGTCCCAGAAGATTCCTCTTTGATTCCTCGGTTCTTTAATGAAGAGGTAGGTCCCCCCCGGGGAATTCAACTGGACGTGAAGTATCATCTATCGCAGTCATTGGATGTATGAGATGTGGAAGAGAATTACATTAAGTGCTTTCAGATCAGCATGATTCCGATATGAAATTCATGAATCATGTAAGGCTCCTTAAATGATAACCGCTTGTTGTAGATTTATTGAACAGGCTTCCTTAACTTGATACTTATCCAACCCCCAACCCCCGAAAAAAAACCCCAAATCACTCAATGCTTGCTGAATTAATCGATTGACAGTTAGGGCTGTGTTGAATATTCAAATACATGTGTTTGATCAATTATCACATGCTCAAATTTTTATTTTAAAAATTGAATATATTGAGCTGAAAATCAGTGAACTAAAAAGGGAAAAAGTTCATAATTTTGTCACGAAAAGGCACTCTTAACAGCCTCTTACAAGCAAACTTAAGGCAGCTGACTCACATGCTCAGCAATGCCAGAGAAGTACCGGTAGCCGTACCGTTCCTTCCAGGTTGTTCTGTTTTACTCTGTTGCATGTGCGATCTCGCTGGGGCTGAGGGAAGACATCACCAAGTAGGGCCAAACATGAGCTGGACTCCACGCCTCCTGCAAGGGGGCGGACCCCTCTCCTGAAGCAGAACAAGAGAGTCCACCATACTAACATGCATAGGTTGTGTGTCCACTGGCTGGAATTTGATTCCACTGAATATTTGAATATTGGACTGAAAGGAAGGAATGAACGTTCCAGTATCACTGACGATGAAATTGTGCTTCAGCAAGTCGAGGGTAACGTTATTTGGAAACTGATATGCATCTTGTAAAGTGCATCCTCCATTAAGGAGTCAATAAGCTTGCTGCTGCAGCACCGCAGTGCATGTACATGTATGCATTTTAATCTTTGTGGTAATACCTGCGGTTGACAGGGCCAACCGTCTGCGTGAATGGAGATATCTTCACCTGACAGACACAAAATCACCCCACGCCACCATGTACGGAATACAAGAATCCATTTCTTCCATTTTATATTATCTGCTGACTGCATCATTTTGGTGAGCATTAGACAGCGTCATTTGGTGACGCATCAGGCAGCATCATTTGCCAGATGGCGATTCCGCAAAAGTGGAACTTCTGTGAAAATGCACTTGGTGTGGTTCAGTGGAAAAAGTTTGATGGCCGATGGGGTTCCATAGGTTAAAAGATTCAAAATGCATACAAAGGGCTGTAAAAACTCATGTCTGTGCACAGGAGTATGCGTACATGTACATTACACATGTACGTTACAGTTAACCAGTTGTGGACACTGTTACTCCCCAACGGATTATTGTGCCAATCCTGAGCATGGCACCATTCTTTTGGCAAAACTACTGGCTTATCAAAAAGACAAGGTGCCACAACAATATCGGCAACAATATCAAGGAGCGGTATTTGCTACAACACTCAGCCTTGGCACACGGACACCTAAGGTTCCACACATGGTCAACCTCCATGGACTAGTCAGAGTCAGTGTCAGAGTCAGTGTACAGTATGTGCACATGTGTACGAGCTCAACGGGGATCACTTTAGCATGGACGGGTGCAGACATCACCTACACACACAATTGGCCACATCTTCAAACATCCTCTGTGTAACATGCTCAGGAAATCACTGTTTGTCCACAGCCCGGGAATAGATGAAGCAATAGATGAAGGGAGGGGGGATGCTTTAGCGTTTGTGTCTGGCCATTCCCCAATCTCATCCCTGTGGGGTGTCAAGTAATGCAACCCCCACGACTGCCTTCTCTCCCACTCAGATAGTTTTGCACATGCATGTATACTTGTATGTCAACTACATATGCGGTAAGAATGGTCTAGTGCCCTGATGTGCATTAAAATGAATGTTCAGGTTTGTATGCAGTGTCTGGTATATACACAGGGTCAATTCCGATTAATGTCACAGATTAAAACACAGGACTTTTAAAAACTTTCCAAATCTTTTTACTGTCACAAGGTTTAGTTAATTATTGAAAATTTTAGATGCAATAAAGGAATGCACGCTTCAATGAGAGTAACCCAAAAGAAATGTCAAATAGCTTGTTTTCATGTACAAGGGATGGAAATTTGCTGAGAATGTGCTCCCAAGTAGAACTCGGGCAGTGTTCCCTTTAGTAACAATTCCGTGGCCTGTTTTCTGACAGCTGCTCGGTTTAATCGTGAGTCCAAGCCCACACTGACAACTTGATCTGTGACGCGGCGTATCTTGTTGACCCACAAAGCAACCCGCCAACCATATGTACATGTAGATGACATGTTGCCAAATGCACGTGTCTGCTGACACCAGAGATGGGTTAGCGAATTGGGGCCCCTGAGGCAGTAAGATGTGGAGTGTCAGTTTGTAAGATCCCGTTTGCAGTTTTGCCCACAGGTTGCCAATTCCAGTCTGTCAATTTTGTCAACTTTTAACATTCATCATGTGAGTACATGTATCACATTCCTTATAGGCCATGCATTACATGTGGCAAAAAGTTCCCTGAGGATTTGCTGTATATGGGCCTTTCATTTTTAGGAGTCCAAAGTGGAATGTGACAGGCCAGCATTTGAAAACTGTTTTCCTGCCCTGTAGGAAGCTTATTTGCATTCCATAATACACGTTGCTTTGCCAGCAGCAAAGGTGAAACACTTAGGCACAAAGTTTGGCCAGGACTTCTGTGCTGACACCGCAACATGGGACATTGCTTCATGTAACAGTGTACACCTACATGTTCTGTACATATACAAGGTATATGTATGTATGAGAATGAAGTATTCAAACTGGCCTAATATCTAATGAATTCTATCCCTTCGGCTGACTTTGCCTGACTTTAATGTTGTCTTGGAGTAATTTGGCATGTGGGTAAACTAGGAGATATTTTATGGGTTACTGCAAATGACAGAATTTCTGGTTTCACATGTTCCGTATCAAATTCAGACCTGACCATTTAGTGTGTGACACTTGATATTACTGGTGGTTTGACAGGAAAATGTTAACAGAACTTGATACAGTTGTAAATTGAGAACAGTCCAGACTTAGTCAGGTTAGCTTGAAGAATTGTTTTAAATACTGCACATTTCAGAACCCTGCCATATTGAAATTTAGGTATTTTTGTCCCCCTTGTTGTGTGATCACAAACGTTTTGTCTTCAGAAAGAAACTGTTATGAAGACAAAAATGTATAGCCTCTTTAAGAAGCTACGTGGATAACCATATGCTTTATAAACTCACAATGAAAAACTGAACTCTGCTGCCGTGCATTTCCCCTTATAAGTGAACCATTGTACAGTGTTTTCGTTTCCCGTTGAACACCATAAAAAGTTAAAGGTCCACGTACAAG